CAAAGTTCGTAAAGGTTGTAGATTAAATTCATTTTATACTAATAGTTTAATAATCTAGGATTAAGAAATATATTATAAACCGAAAAATAAAATTACATATCAATTAAAATTTGAATCCAGAATTATTGATGTAATTATTACACAAGATTTGGATTAACTAATCAATACATACTTTCTAACTTTTACCTAAGAAGAATAAGGCGTTAAAATAAGCCTTTATATTATTGATATATAGAATCTTGTTCATTTATATGATCTTCCATTCTACTAATATAAGCCAAGACATCCATTAAATTATAAACTTTAATCTCGATATTTTATGATAGTTGTCTTGGATGATTCAAATGATAATTGCTTACTTATCTACAATATTAAAAATTAAGGAAAAAAATCGCTAATAAAGATTATAAAATTACATAAAGAGTAAATAGCGTATAATTTTATAGAAAATTAAGACATTATAATTTATATTAAGGATGGGAAAATTAGATTTAATAAGATCTAGGAAATTAACATTAAGCTAAACTATTTGGATTTAATAAAAAATAAGATGGATTTTTACACAATCAAAAATTTAAATGTCAAACTCACATCTTCAATTAAAAGTCTTAATCAATATATATGCATGCCTTTAAAAATACTTCATCTAAATACTATTTATAGTAAAGATTATCATAAATGACTATCAACCTTAGCAATTATCAATAATCAAGTCTAATTGGTCAAATAAAATGGAACTTGAATCTTAGCAACATTTACGGTAGAATAGATAAAATTGAGTTGATCCATAATAATAGCATTATTGAAATTAATCCAGTAAATTATACATGGAATAGAATAGAGTGCATTTTTTATAATAATGATGTCTGCTAGATTAGTGAAGAAAGATTTATGATCAATTTTTTTACAATGGGACAAAATATTTATACATAATAATTCATTTAAAATGTTTAATCAGCAATTTATGATAAAAAATAATCTAAATATATTTTGATATGCTTTTCTAAGGTTACATATACTGTAACGTATTTTGAATTATATCTCAAGTTTACTGAAACTAAAAATGCTAAACTAACTAAAATCGAGAAATTGGAATAGACTTTTGAGTTTCATTATGGGGATTGTAATTTTATTTAATATTCTTTTAGTTGGTACTTATGATAAATCCTATTACTTTTTCGATTTAATGATTTTTTCAAATCAGGGTAAATAAAATCTAATTTTATAAAAAAATAACAATGCTTTGATTAGATTAAAAGAAATAGAAAAAGAAATTCAGTAATAAATTCTTGATTGTTATTAATTGGATGAAACAACTTATATGTTTGCATAAATTAATTAGCATCAAGAACTAGAGTTTTTTTTAATTCAAATTAATATTATTGAAAATATTCCAAATCAAACTAAAGTCAATAATTTTAATAAAATTCTGAATTCAAATTTTCTGTATTCTATTTAAATAAGCTTTTGACAATTATAATCAAATTGATGACTTCGATTTTAAAAGCACACTGTTAATAATCAAGATAATTTCAATAAATCAATAATCAAATTAAAATTTCAACATGTAATACTTATAATGTGGAGAGTCTCTCTCTTTTTGTGTAATTAAGATTTTAAGATTTAAATAAACTCGCTATATAGATTAAAATGTAACTGCTCTTCTAAGACTTGAAACCTTTAACTATTAAACTGAACATGTATATTCAGACGCACAAATTGTGATATTT